TCTTTGGGGGTCAGCATCTTCTTCCCTAATTGCTTCCTCACCTGCTTCTATATCTCTGTGCTGCCCGCACCCCGAGTCTGTCTGCTGAGCGAGGTGACCCTGAGTTAGCCTCCAATCCCAGTCGGCTCCGTGTCGTGCGTCACAGCGGGGGGAGGGCGGTGGAAGTGTCCGGAGCCGCCGCCTCGTCTGATTTTTCTCCGTTCGCTGAGAAAGGGCCATTAAAACCTCCCGCTGTGGCTGTCAAATTCTGTCACCCGCTTTGATTGTGTAAATGTCGCTTTACGTGTGTGGGGCTCGATCGCACCTTGAAGGTGGTCGCGTGTTCCTCACGAATCGACTTTTTCGCCTTGACGAAAGGCTCGTCTTTGACAATATATTTAGAATGGTATAATTTTCCACCCATTCGTTTTCAGCCTGTTCGTGTCTGAGTGTTTCATCTGCACGTCTTTTAGACGCAGGCAGAGGTCCCGTTACCCGTGCTGATCGTCTTTTAATTGGATCGTTCGGGAACATTTACCGTAATTATCGATGCGGTTCGATTGAGGTCTACCGTTTTATTTTTCTCTCTGTCCATATATTTCTTGTTCTCCACCTCCCTTTCCTTATTATTATTTTGGGGGGGGAGTTGTCAAATATTTTATAGAATTTCATTCTCGTTTAACCATCGGACTTTTAGGTGTGCTCTTCACACCTGTTTTTCAGAGTTCGCAACCTACATCCTGGACTTTTCCCCGTGTAGCAGAGTTGATATTGTACCACTTCATGTAAAACGTAGAAGTATCATGACCAGCTGGGTCCTTAACATCCTCCCAGCGGGTTTCAGCTGTCGTGAGGAGCACATGAGTTTCACGTACCTACAGGACGTCTCACAAGACAACGCTGTGCGTGTTGCTTTTAACGGTCTTTCAAAGGGGTGGGGAGGAGGCATCGTCTTTGTACGTACACATGATACTTCCCTTCAGCCTGGACACGTCGTCGAGCATCTCTTGTGGCGCAGGACAAGGGACGTCGAGTCCTCTCAGGTCCCCTACGCCTAGACACGCCTCCTCCTGACATTAGAGCGGGGAGAATGGGGCGCATTGTTCGTCGTTGACTCGCGTGGGCGGCAGCTTCGTGTCTTCATTTCCCTGGTTTCCTTCGAGGCGGAGGAATAATCATGTCGGCGGCGATCTTCCTTGGCCCCGAGGTTCCTCGTGGTCTGGCCGTGGCGAATCGGCCAGGCCTCCCCGTCTGGCAGCACGCGGCCGGCTCCGAGCACGACCTGGCTTAATATCTGCCTGTTCGTGTCACCCTGAGAGATCGCTTTCCCTAGAACCCCCTTTTCGTCCATAACTGCGACCCACGAAGTCATCCTAATGTCGGGGGGAGGCAGGGAACTAAAGCGTTACATCGGGCCACATTCGGAGACGGCAGGGTGCTGATCGGGGCTGCGGCCAGGCCGGGGGCGGGGGGGACAGCTGCGGGACAAAGGGAGGTTTCTGCTGGGACGGCTGACAACCCGTCCCCACACCGTGAAGGGGAACGGCGTCTCTAAGCGCTGCCCTGCACAAAGCAAATCACTCGTTGCCTATGGCCGAGGCCGTGGGAACCCAGGCGCGAGGGCCGGGAACGGCCAGCGGCCTCTCGCGCCGCATGTTCGCACCTTTTCAGGCCGTGTCCTCTCCCCGTCCTCCCCGCATGTCCACATCGAAGGAGATGGGAGAACCAAGTCTAAGCCGTGGGCACTAAGAAGGTCCTATAAACTGGACCCCACACCCCGATCGGGGCTTTTCCCCTCGTCCTGGGTTTCTGTCTTTGCTTTTTCTCCTTTAATACACTTTCCTTTCGACTGAATTCTTTGTCCACTCTCCCCCGAGGACCGTCTGTGCAAGGCTTGGCCTCCCCGTCTGGGGGCCTTTGCCCTGTCCTGCATCCGCCCTGTGTTCAAAATCGAGAGATGGGACCAGATCACCACTGGGCAGCTGCTTACCCAACATCCGCGTCTCTCCTTGGAGAGAAGCCTGGCTTTCTGCCTGGCAGACATGCATTCGGCTAGGGTGACACCTCCGGCCTTGCGGAAGGTCCCTGGGTTACTCCTCACGTGGGGGGTGGGGCCACCTGGGTTCACGTTGTGACCTTTTTATCTTCCGTTTTCCCATCTTTAAAACGATGCGCAGAGCTCCAGACCACGAGGTGACCTTGAGGATGGAAACCATTTGGCCAAGAAAAACCGAGAACGGACACAGCCCGGAAGCGAAGCCCTGTGTGGGTGGGGTGGAGGCGGGAAGGTCGTTTCTTGCTGGCGGAAGGAAATTCATGATACGATGCTTTCCAAGAGAATTTTATTCAAAAATGAATTTACTACCCCGTAATGTTGTCAGGTCATTTTTCCAGCCGAATATGAAAGTACTAAACAAGCTTATCGCAGGTTTGAAATTTTGACATATTTTAATGAGAAATGGCAAATAATTCTCACCCGGTCCTGAGGGAGCCGTCGCTCCGGGCACCAGCGGACCCCGCGGGGAGCATGCACGTCTCCTGCACACGCCCCACCTCGCCCGACCGCATCTGGAGTGGGGACCCCCTGGAGGCTCCGTCGGCCGCCCCGGGCCCATGTCTCCTGCACATGCCCCGCCTCGCCCAACCGCGTCTGGAGTGGGGACCCCCCTGGAGGCTCCGTCGGCCACCCCGGGGCCCCTCGGCGAGGCACTGCTGCCTCCACCGCACCCCAGGGGCCTGGTGGCCCCCACGATGGGCCGCAGCACCTGATCCTGCACAGCGACTCCGGGGACACGTGTGTGGCGGAGACGATCTTCCGGCGAGGGCGAGGGGCCCGCATCCCGGGGCACCTGTCCTCGGCCTGCGCCACAGGGACCGCGGGCTCGTGGAGCAGCGCGGCCTCCGGACGCTGTTCCCGCCGCAGACTTTAGCTTTTCGCGGCCGGCTCGTTTCTGTTCGCGTGGTGTCCTCCGGGTCCACCCGTGACGGGGAGTGTGTGAGAACCTCCCTGCTCTCAAGGCTGAGCAGTGCCCTGTCGTGTGAACAGTCCACACCTGCGGACCTGGCCACGTGTCAAGGGCACTTGGCTTGCGTCCACTGCTGTGAACGTGGGTGTCTTCAAGACTCCCGGTCATTTCGATCTGTGCGTCGTGCGGAGGTCACTGTGGGAAGCAGGAGCCACTTGGGTGTTCTCCGCCGCGGGAGACTTAGCGCGCAGAGTGGTCATTGGAAGGACCAGAGGCGGCTCTGGGCGCGGTGACCTCAGAACTCACCTCTGCCTCACGTACCAAGGCCGGTAGGCAGGAGGCTGCCTCTGGGGTCGTCGGGTGTGAGCCTCGGTCCAGGGGTCAGGACGCTGGGTCAGGAAGGCTCGGCCACCGCAGTCGCCTGGATGACACACAGGCGACAGACACAGGGATGCCGCGGCAGTGGCCCCTTT